ATAAACGTACTTTAATAAATTAAAAATTGGTCCTTTTTCGAAGAAAGGTTCGCTGTGCTTCTTTCTTGTTCTTTTTCTTCTATCAACTTTACCTGGGTAGAACATGGTTTTTCTGTTCCCATTGAGGTGTTTTTTCCACGTTTCAAAATCCTTCCACAGGTGAACCCTAGGTTTCCCTAATAAGCTAATAGAGTGAGTTACTTTGTGCCTATCTATCATTCTCCACAAAGCTATGTTTAATTTTGTTGTTTTTTATGTAGTAATTTTCTTGCACCGGAAAGAACTTGCATTGGTATAACTTGGGATACTTTTTCTTGAAATCTTTCTTTCTTATTTGTAGGGTTAATTTGGTGGCTTATAAATTAGTGGTGAACTTCACTTGATTGGTTTCCGTAATGTTATAATATTCCTTTTTTCAAGTTAATAATGAATTTTTGAAATTGGACACAGGGCTGCTGACAATCAACTAAAAATGAGGGGAAGGAGCTACAGCCCATCACCACCAAGGGGGGGATATGGTAGGAGGGGAAGAAGTCCTAGCCCCAGGGGTCGCTATGGTGGTCGTAGCAGAGATCTTCCTACAAGCCTTCTAGTTCGTAACCTTCGCCATGACTGCAGGTTTGTTGTGGCTTACCATCATTCTCTTTTTTCCTTCTAGTAATATGATTGCATTGCAAATTTTATGCAAGGACAAGTGATGGATATTTTAGAAAAACAAAAAACAAAAACACTAGTGATAGATTATGAGCATTTCAGCAAAACGAAGGAGGAAATATGTTGAATAGATGTGATACATCAGTTCATATGTATGCTTCTTGTAAATCATGGTTCATATTGTACAATGCTTTGGACTCTATAGTAGTCCCAATCTGTCCTACTATTCTTGTGATTCTAGCATGCTAGTTATTGTGAATAATTGAACATTGAACATTCAACAAATCATGTTTGTTTATAATTTTATATGGAACATGTTTCCTTTAGAGGATCAGCCTGGTTGATGTTTATCATTTATGTTTTTTTAGTTATTTTATTTCCTTATCTGTATGTTGGACTTTTCGCCTTATAATGTCTGCAACCATTTTCTTTCTTTTCGGTTGAACGGGATCAATTGCTAGAAGTTTATTGTTCTGAAATATGTTCCCCCAATTGGATATTATGCATCTTGTGGCTTCGTATGCCTTTAGTAAATTTTGTTTAACATCTTACGCGTTAAATAAATTTTGAATTAATGAGATGTTTCTTTTTCATTATGTTCTCTTATGCAGGCCAGAAGATCTCCGCAAGCCATTTGGGCAGTTTGGCACTCTTAAGGATGTTTACCTGCCAAAAGATTACTATACTGGGTGAGCATATCTGAGTAACTTTAGTTATCGAATATCTTGGCGATGAGATTTAACTTTTGAATTATTATTTTTTTGTATATTTTATTCTAGTGTTTATTTTATATATGTATATTTTACCTTATTCGTAGAAATTGTGTAGTTTTCCTCTTGCTTATTCTGCCTCGTGATTTCTGAAACTATTGGATGATTTAGTAAGCTTTTGTGATATTTTTTTCAATTATCTGATAGGAATTGAATTTATTTGGAGATATTTCTTTTCAGAATCTCTATAGTTGAAGTGGAACATCTCTTGTTATGCTTCTGTCCCCACATTTTATTCTAGAGTAAAGCATAGCTTTTGAGAACAATTAGTCTTTATGATATGCTCAATGCTATTTACATTAATTCTGTAAGGAATCAATTTAATATTGGAAAATGTGTTTTTCTGGGATTTAACCTAGCAGTCCCTTCTAATGCACCTTATGATATGTTCAATGCTTTTTTCGTTATTTGCTAAAGGAATCAATTTAATATTTGAAAATGTGTTTTGTGGGATTTGACCTAGCAGGCCCTGCCATGCTCCTATAAAAATACCCCCAAGATGGTTTTTTTTTTTAATATGTTCTACTCTTATTATTACCATAAGCTGGGGTGTATTCATTGAAGTTTTTGAGGTTTAACAGTGAAATTAAAGTTTTGAAGACAACAATCAAGTAATTAGAGTTCTTTTGAAGATGATGTTAATGGTAGTGAAGATTTGAAGGAAGTTGAGTTTGAATACATTGTGAAGATGTTCCAAGTCTTGAAGAATTTCAAGTCATCTTAAAACTGACACTTGCAAGGTCAGCAGCCAAGTGCTTGCTTCTTTATTGTGGCCATCCATATTGTTGGCGATTATTTCGGAAAATTTAATAAGAATGGTTTATGGTGTCCAAGTACTTGCATAGTTTTACCTTTCAGTGTAGTTCCTTTTGTGACTTGTCTTTGTTTTCTCTTTACACCTATTTTTACAGGGAGCCTCGTGGTTTTGGTTTTGTCCAATTTGTTGAACCTGCTGATGCTGAAGAGGCTAAATATCAGATGGATGGTCAGCTTCTTCAAGGCCGAGAGGTTACTGTTGTATTTGCAGAGGAGAACAGGAAGAAGCCATCCGATATGAGGCATAGGGAGCGTGCAAGGTAAAACCTGCCTATTGCTTTACAGGCTTTGTCATATGGGTTGGAACTTGCACTTTGATTGGAATAATATATCTTCTGATTATATATTTGCTTTTTTCTTTCTTTTCCTTCCAAGTTTTATTTAGGCATGATATGTATGATTCTATGAAACTAATGTGTGGCAATTGTTTAGGGAAGGACTTCTATGTTTGTTCCAATATTTGGTGACAATTTTGAATTCTAATTGACATGTAATACAAGAATATTGTTGTAGTAACCATTTGGAGTAGAAGTTTAAGTTGAAAATATGAGTGATTCTATGGATATGGTGAGGATCAAAATCGTGCTTTAATTTATCCTTAATGTCTTGAATATTGGACTTGCAGTTTTGCTGTTTTACGTTTGCTCCAAGAAGAAATTATGCAAAGTGAATATTTGAATAATATAAGTAGTGTTTAATTGAGAATATCAGGACAATCCTTTTTCTACTTCTGAGTAGTCTATTCAACCTTTCAAATGTTTGTTCTTTCAGCACCAGGAGTGGTCGATATCGTGATCGAAGACGGTCTCCTCCTCGATATTCACGCTCTCCACGATATTCCCGATCTCCACCTCCACGCCATACAAGATCTCGGTCCCACAGCCGTGATTATTATTCTCCTCCCCCAAAACGAAGGGATTATTCGAGGTAATTTTGGTTTTCCTCCCGGCCATCTACTTTCCAGTAAGGGTATTTATGTGTGGAAACTTCTAATTCTGGTTGCATAACCTGTTTATCATTTGCAAAATCCAAATAAGATGCATTAGATTTTGGGGATAAGTTTATATTTGGGGTTTAGGCCTGTTGCTAGTCGTCTATTGTTTGACTGAAGGAAGGATGGGTTTAATTTGTTGTAATTCGTGTTTTGTTTGGTGTCAAAATGGCAGTTTTATCCTTTGATTGGTTTCTGAAAGATCCGGTGGTATTAGCCTATTGATAATGATTTCAGGAATAGTATTTGCTAGAAAATGTTTATTTACATTTTGTATAATGTCTTTGTCACTTCTGAATTTCTTTCATCTTTTATGCTCATCAACTTATGTGTTTCTGTCTAGTGCGCAATGCCTAGTGCGCTCTGCTATTTGTTCAAATGTTTGAGCTTCTGTTGCTTCTTATTGGTTGCTAGATCTGTATCACCACCCCAAGAGCGAAGGTACAGTAGAGAGAAGTCATTTTCTCGATCTCCTCCACCATATAAGGGCTCAAGGAGCCACGGTGAGAGCCCGGATAGGGGTCCAAGCCGAAGCAGGAGCAGAAGCAGAAGTCACAGTCCAAGGCGAGTCGACAGACGGAACCGAAGTCCTTTTAATGAAGATTACCCAAGGGAACCAAATGGAGACCGATTTCCTAGTCCATGAACAACGTAGAGAGAGCTCTTAAGCTAGTAGAAACTTGCTATGCTACCTTTTGAATTTCATTTAGTATGTGTTATGTTTGATGATGTGAACGTATTGTTTGAAGGGATCTGGTCGTTTCTCAGATTAAGATGTGTAGGTTTATGTTTTTGTTTCAATGACATCTGTCATGGCAGAACCTTGAATTTGGTGATTTGGTTATTGTCGTGTATGCGTTGTTATGCCATTAAGCTTAACCAGGTCCTTATTTTTGAGATCCCCGAGTAAAAGTCAGTAGACAAAGTGTTCAAAAGAAGGCATTTTACGTTTTTTTTTTTTTTTTTTTTGGTCAATAGGCATTTTACTTTTAGACGATTGGTATCCATCCATAATCCATTTGTTGTGCTTGTGAATTTGTCTTCTAATTTTTGGCGTGAGTCAGAGTCCATCCTCTTATTTTTGGACAAAAGAATCTATCCTTTTGTGAAGTGACTTTATTTTATATATATATAAATATAATATATATAAGTATAATTACAAATTTATTGCAATGTATTATTAGCTAACTGATATTTGGTGTATTTAAATAAAAAAGATAACTGATATATCACCGAACTCAAATCGTCTCCTTTTCTGCCTTTCCGGTTTTCTTATGATTAATGAGCATCGAGTTGGAGTTCAAATCAAAACTGTCCTTCCCTTTTTGACGCGGTTAATGCATGACTTTTCTCCACCACTTTTTTCTTTCTTTTTTTCGAGTTGAGAAAAATGACTTTTGGAGGGAAAAACGAATAAAAATCACCGAAATAATTAAATAAAAACTAAGGACTTGGCGATAATCCCAATGAGTCTTCATAAAAAATAATAATAATAATAATAATAAAGGGCGAAAGAAAATAGAAAAAGACAACCAACGAATAACCAAGGAAACGGGAGTTCGAAGACTCGGCTTCACATCACTTGAGTTGGGTCTCAGTGTCTTTCTCAAACTCAGTAGCTCACTCTGTCTAGTGAAGTTTCCGTTAACAGGTTTTCTCCTCCCTCTCTCTCTCTCTCTCTCTCTCTCTCTCTCTCTCTTTTCTTAACGTTATGAATCTTTTGTTGCCTCAACTATGTATTTTTCAGTCAATATTGAATGAATAATAATATTAATATGATTGGACTGGTGGGGCAGAGTCTGTCAGTATTGTTTTTCTTCTTTTTCTTCTGGTTTGCAATGAAATTTTATGGTTTCTTAATGTAGGGTTTATGTAGGGTCTAGCACTAGAAGTGTGTGTTTAGTGCTGTTCTGGCTTCCACATTTGAGGAAGTTGCTTTTTTTTTTTTGAACTTGACTAATCAGGAATCTTTCTTATATTTTTGGTTCTAGGTAGTTCCGTTTCTTATGTGGGTTTTGTTTGAAGAAGTAGAAACGTCTTGCATCTTACTTAGGAAGTAACTTTCTGGCTTTCTTCAGCTGGGGAAGTTGAATCGGGTACTTTTTTGCGATTTATTCTTTAATATTCAGCTCCTCTTCACTAATGCTATTTGTGGTCGGATTTGCTTCTGCAATGGCTTTTCCTGGTTTTCTACATCTGGTTCTTCTGCGCTCTTTTGCTTTTTCTTCTTTTGTCTTTTCGATTCTCCGACTTTAGGCATTTCTTGTGCTGGGTTCGTACGAAAAATAGAAGCTTGTTCAATTTTTTGTAAGATTTAGTTTCTTTAAACCCAGCTTCAGATTACAAATTTCCCCTTCGGCCTTCGTTTTGAAAATGCTAAATGGGAAAATCACCAATATTACTCATGTTCCCTATTGTTTGTCAAGTGTTGAGATTGAAAGTATATCATGTCTAAATTAGAATGTTTGGTGTTGGTTTTTCACAGTTTGTTTTAGGGGTGCGACTTAGCATCTAGCATTTTTGTTATTGAAAATTAAAATATACTTGCAATGAGTCAATGCTATTGTGAGTTGTGTTGATAGTTACACTCCCTTTTATGCTATACAGTATTAAGCAATGCGCATTTATAAGTTATGAAGGCCATTGATACATAAAGCTGTAGCGCTACTTTGGTTTTGTTCATCAGTATCTCATTGCATTTTATATATGTTTCATTTCTGGCAGGTTAGGAATTACGAGCTAACTGCGCGGCACTGGAAGCATAGCTCGAATTCTTATTGGTACCAATGATGCATAAAAAATGGATTGGAGGCGTGCTTTTGCTCCTATTTGGCATGTTTACAAGTGTATTAGGTAAAACAGTAACCTTGTTCTGATTTCTGTTCATTCCAGTTTTATATTGTTGAGTGAGGTAGTATAATTAAGAGCAGTTCCTTGACAATTTGGGGGGGGCGGCTTGGCTTACTGACTTTTGCAATTTTTTTATTGCTACTTCATGTTTACGTGACTGCTTTTAAGCTCTGTATTACTTATCAGTGTTGATTTGCTTTCCAAAGTACAGTAGTTTCTTGACTTATGATACATGTGTGTAGTAAGAAATAACTCTATGGTCCTCGGAATAGTTTCAAAGGGTACGTCTACATCTTGAGCAGATGATCTTTGTTTCACTTAGTATTTTCAGAGTGACTCAACCTATGCCTTGATTTTGATTGTTTCTTTTATTATATGATTTCTGGTTTTTTCCCGTTATCTTCTCTCTATTTGTATATTTTTTTGCTTGTGAAATGTCATTTGCCAGACCCGCCTTGTGCTTGAGGCTTTGCCGTTGTAGGTACAATCTGTCGTGGGCAAATTTTGGGGCATGGCGTCAGGATACATAGATTTTTTTATATATTTTGAGGATTTTTTATATGTTAATTCTTTACTCAAATAGAAGGGCACCATTTGGAATTTTGGGATGCCTTTGTTCATTGTTGTAGTGTTGTCACTCTAACAAGATACTGAATCACAATTTTGAAACTTATAGGTGCATTCATCGGGATAAACATTGGGACCGACGTCTCGGACCTTCCATCTGAGACAGATACAGTTGCACTCCTTAAAGCCCATCAAATTTCACATGTGCGCCTCTATAATGCTGATACTCACATGCTGAAAGCCCTTTCAAACAGTGGAATTGAAGTAATGGTAGGTGTCACAAATGAGGAAATCCTAGGGATTGGACAGTCTCCATCAACAGCAGCAGCCTGGATTAATAAAAATGTTGCAGCTTATTTGCCTTCAACCAATATTACAGCCATTGCTGTTGGCAGTGAGGTTCTTACTTCAATTCCTCATGCTGCGCCGGTTTTGGTTTCTGCTATGAATTCCCTTCATAAAGCCCTGGTTGCTTCAAACCTAAATTATCAGGTCAAAGTTTCAACTCCACAGTCCATGGATATAATCCCTAAGCCATTCCCCCCGTCCACTGCCGGCTTTAATTTATCATGGGGACCTACCATTTACCAAATCCTTCAGTTTATAAAAAACACAAATTCCTATTACATGCTAAATGCCTATCCTTATTATGGGTACACCGAGGGGAATGGAATTTTCCCGCTTGATTATGCTCTTTTCCGCCCACTTCCCTCTGTCAAGCAGATTGTTGACCCAAACACTCTTTTCCATTATACCAGCATGTTTGATGCTATGGTGGACGCTACCTATTATTCTATAGAGGCTTTCAATTTTTCTGGGATCTCTATTGTTGTCACAGAGTCTGGTTGGCCATGGTTTGGTGGATCCAATGAACCGGATGCCAACACAGGAAATGCTCAGACGTACACAAATAATTTGATTCAGCGAGTGTTAAATGATTCAGGTCCTCCCAGCCAGCCAAAGTTGCCCATCAACACGTACATTTATGAGTTGTTCAATGAAGACGAGAGGCCAGGACCAGTGTCGGGGAAAAATTGGGGTGTGCTCTTTACGAATGGGTCTTCTGTATATCCTTTAAGTTTGAGTACTTCCAATCAAATTACTGGGAATTCTTCTGGGGTTTTCTGCGTGGCGAAAGCTGATGCAGATCCTGATAAGTTGCAGGATGGCTTAAACTGGGCTTGTGGGCAAGGCCAAGCTAACTGCACTCCTATTCAAAAAGGGCAGCGGTGTTATCTCCCCAATACTATTGCAAATCATGCTTCATATGCTTTTAATGACTATTATCAAAAGATGCAAAGTGTTGGCGGAACATGTGACTTTGATGACACCGCCATGACAACTACTGTTGATCCAAGTAAGTTTCTGTCTACATTTTGTTATGCCTTGACTATAGGGTATGTTTGGGTGCACCAAACACTATTTTTGTGTTAGTTCTGAAACTGAAGACAGGTTTTTTGAAGCAAAACTGTAATTTGAATTGCCTTTCATTCAGATATGGTGATAGTCAGTTGTAAAGGACTTTCTACAAAACAAAGTCATCAATGTCTAGGAGATTATTGTTTATTTCTCTTATTTTTGCAATGAAACTCATGCTTCCAGTTAAACAAAACAAAAGTTTAGTGGGTAGCAGAACCTTTTTTGAGGAGAGTAAGCTTGTAGCTAATGCAGCTTTAAGTAGTTATTAGGTGTGGTTTTTTTAATTAGCTCTAATGTTGCGTACGAACATGAAAAAAGGCATGTTTATTTATTGTGATATTGACTATTGAGGCCTGCTTGTGAACATGTTGAAGCATTATTAGTATGCCCTTTTTTTTTTGGGCGTTTCACTAAAACACCCAAAATGGGGGTTGAAATTATAAAAAAACCCAAGCACTATTTAAACATATAAACACACCCAAAACTCATCATTACACACACTAAAAACTCATTTATAAACACACCCAAAAAGTTAACTTTGGGGTTAATTTTGGGTGTGTTTCTATGTTTAAATAGTGCTTGGGTTTTTTTATAAATACATGTCTAGGATTGGGTTTATTTATAAATTTGTATTTTTGTTTCTCTTACTTTTTTACCTTCCTGCTTTCAAACTTAAGCATTTTATTGCTTTTTGTGGGTACTTGTACGTTTCCACTACCTCTCAAGTTTGTTATCCTTGAGAGGTAACATGTACAAGTATTTTGTTTCTTTTCATGGTTTTTCGCATACTTTGTTATCCTTCTGTTTATTTTCTCATTGTCCTCCTAATATTTTGGTGGGCATTCATTTACAGGTTATGGATCTTGTAAATTTACCGGAAGGTGAGCATCTCACCCTCTTCCTGATATTCATAATCATTACTTTAGAACTTGTACACTAAATTATGGGTTTGGCCTAAACTTGTACTATTATGATACAGTTCTAATTCAAGCACAATCGGGGGACTTACACCAGCGGCAATTGCACCTTCAAGCGCCGTTGGAGGCTGGAGTTCAAATCTACAAGTTTCCAATCTTCAATATCTCATACCGGCAACATTTCTTGTATTGCTTTTGCTTTGAGTTGAGGTGCCATCCAGTTTGTTACCGTGTAGCATAGTTATAGCAGAACATTCGAAATAGCATGATTGAAAAGGACCTGGGAAGTGCACGGCAGCACAAGCTTGGTGACACAACTGGAAATGTCCATGTATTATATCATCAATTTTGCTTGTGTTTCCAATTTCTCAGTTTATCTCTCCACCTCTACAAATTCTGGGGAGTTTTGTGTAGTTCCATTCAATTGTAGGCATTCTGATGAAGTAGTGGCTAGACCTTGATTTTTTCGCACCAACTTAACTAGAACGTATTTTGTACCTTATCAATGAAAAAGTAATTCTAGCTTACAATTACTTGTTACATTTATCATATCGAATTATCTATGCATGAATTTAACATGTTTCTTAATTCATATCTCCCCGAATAAGTGGCAGAAATTTGTCTCCAGATCATTATGAAAAGTAAATAATAATATTCCACTCTGCAACCCAATTTTTCATTGCTGGCATATATATAAGTTAAACATAACCCATATTGAATAAATATGTATATGGCGATAGATTTGTAGGAGGTGTTTTTTTTTTTTTTTTTTTTTGGGAAAACAAAAAAAACCTAGTTAATGATTTTATCCAAAAATAAACACGCACTCGAAGGTTTACAACAGTTATATCTGAGTGGTGTATATATAAAATCTATAATTATTACCCACCCATTAATAGTTGTATATATAACTTATTTTTACATCATTTATCAATAAATCAGAGTGGCGCAGCGGAAGCGTGGTGGGCCCATAACCCACAGGTCCCAGGATCGAAACCTGGCTCTGATACATTTGGTTTCATTTTTGCTACTTTTTATTTTAACTTTGGGCCGAAACGGTACGTTCCATTTACAGCTCACTCCTCATTCTCTCTCTCTCTCTCTCTCTCTCTGAGTGTGGGCCGAAACGGTACGTTCCATTTGCAGCTCGCTCCTCATTCTCTCTCTCTCTCTGAGTGTGCTTGACGATGACGAAGCCAGCAGCAGGATCCTTAGCAGGCATGTTGACGATGACAAAGCCATCAGCAGGATCCTTAGCATCAAGATCGACGTGGGTATCCACCACCTCTGTGTCGTCCTCAGGGAAGAGGATTCAGAGAGAGATGGTAGAGCTCAACCTGGACCCACCTCCTGGCTGCTGTGCGGGGCCCAAGGGTGACAATCTCTACAACTGGGTTGCAACCATCATCGGGCCCCCAGGTTTTTTTCCTCTTCTATGAATTGGAGAATAAAAAATTCATCTTTTCTTTCTCGGTTAAATGACTTATGATATGGGTTTGCTTTGTTTGTTTTCTGGGTTAAGCTTAATTTGTTTAGATGTTGGCTTCTAAGTGGAGTTGTGAGCTTGAAAAGTAGAAAATTTGAAGGTTTTACTTATGGAGTTGTGAGCTTGAATTTGTAGTTTCCCAGCTCAGTTTTTATATTTAAGATGTGGGTTTGCTTTGTTTTCTGGGTTAAGCTGAACTTTACTTAATTTTGTGTTTCTCGTGCAGTTGACATTGTTTTTTTAATAACCAAGTGAGTGAGGGATTAAAAAGTTTAGAATTTGGATAGTTTCGAACTTTTCTGCGTTTAAAGTGGATCAATTTTTTTGGGGTTGCTCAACTTTTATTTTATAGTTAGAGGTTTACTTTTGAGAAGTAAAAGAAAGTGGTTTTTTTTAACTTTTTCAAGTATTTCACCAGAACTAACTTTGCTCAGTTGGTCTAGGCTTGTGGATTTTTGGCTGCAATAAGATTTGTTTACTGCTGCTAACTTATTTTGATATGCCTTTTATTAAGGAGCTTGTTCATTGTCAAGCAAGCTTGTCTGTTTTTCAACTCTTTATACCGATCATTGACTTGTGGCTGCAATAAGATTTATTTTGATTTCTTCTAAGGTCTGTTTATTTGCATGTGGTTTCTGATTTTTTAACTGTAATGGTGGGGAGTATACCATTGAAGGGTTCTAGCTATTAGATTATGTAGTCTTTCCTACAGCTGCATCCCTTGGTTTGTGCTTTTGTTGCTCACGTATTGAGATTTCATTTTGGATGTCAGGTTTTTCAAACATAAATACGCAGACAGTAGAATTAGTTTAGAACCAATCTGTAATGTTGTGTGTAATGAAAGTTGGATGTGTAGAAAGTAGGAACCTGTTATTGGTTCTTGATATTTCTTATATTTCTGGAGAAGGCCTTTTCCTGCTCTTTTATGGTTTTAAGGGACAATGTCTTTTTCTCCCAACTTTCTTTTCCCTACTTATGTGGTGTTGACACATTGGAGTCTTCAAAGTTTTATCTTTTGTATGCAATGATGTGCGGTGAACATCACTTCTGTGTTCCTGTTTGTTTGTTATGTTATCTGCAGATAACTATGTTGTAAGGGAGTTGTTTAATGTCTCCTTGGTATGACTTGGCAATATTGACTTATACTTCTGTGTTCTTGTTCCTAGGAACACCATACCAAGGTGGCATATATTTCCTTGACATTACATTTCCTTGTGATTATCCATTTCAACCTCCAAAGGTAGTGTCTCCCATTCAGTTTCCTCTGAATAATGTTGTTTCCTTTGAAAGACTTGATAGAGAACAGCTTTTGTTTTAATGATATCATTTTCTTAAGTAATTATTTGTTGTACTTAACGGACCGATTTTCAGGTTGTATTCAAAACTCGAATCTATCATTGCAATGTTGATTCTGCTGGAAATGTAAGTTTGGAAATCTTAAAGGACAGTTGGAGTCCAGCTCTAACAATTACAAAGGTTCTACAAGCACTTCAATCCATCTTCACAAAGCCTGATCCTTGTAAGTTATTCTGTTATCCTTTGAACCGTGTGTGGCTACTTGTAAGCATGTCCTTGTGTTCGTTACATTTCCTTCTTTCTTTTTCCCCTCTCAGTTCTTGAAATGAGTCTTGGTAGATCACGGCGTTCACTTTAATTACTTAAACTACTATATTGAAGGAATTCTGTCAGGTTCCTCACATGTAAAATTGCATACCTGTCTTGTATAAAACATGATGTAAGAACAGAGCAGTGCTCATTTTGTTTAACACAGCATGAGTTAAGTTGGGCTCAAGATAGAAAATATTCCCAAACATCATATTCATTTAGCTAATAACCTTGATCAGCATGATGTGTTTCCTATTTTTCTACTGATTGAATGGGGATATTCATGTTTGAGCAGATAATCCACTTGTCCCTGGCATTGCCCATTTGTACTTGCAAGATGAAGCTAAACACGCCGAGCTTGCTGCTGAGTGGACACTGCGATTTGCTAAGTGAGGTTTACGTAGGATGCACTCACACAGTACAAAGTATTACATTCCAGCAACCTCTGCAGATATGTTCATTGAAGGATGCTATGTTATCAACCTGTATACTATGACCTTGTCATGTTATGTACCTGCTGAATGACAACAGCCATACATACACCAAAACAAAAAAAGAAAAGCAGAATGCTTGTAACATATTTTTCATCTTATATATTATATGCGCCACTTAAGGAATTGATTGGTCATATTTGTATTTGATCATTAACCTCCAGCAGTTTGCTGATTGCTTGATTAAGAAATTGATTAGTCGTAGACCTTTATTTTTTTTAATTATTGTTTTGGTCTGAGACTCATATATAGATTAAGGTCATTAAAGTTGTGCTAGTTGTTTTGGTTTGGACATTTCCCACCTTCCCCTACCCTACTTGGCCAAGAAAAAGTTGGCTGTGTTTGTTGTGCAGAGAATCTAGTGGCCAAGGACCCGTGGTGGTGTTGCCAAATGACATAACAGATGTATTTTTTGTTTTGTTTTTAAGAGTACCCTATTGTTTATTGCAATTTAAAAACAAACCACATAAACTGATCATTTGACGGACTCCAGACATAGGATCAGCTCCTGTTCCCCTATTTTCTCAAGACTTGCAGAAGGAAAAGATAAAAACGAATTATCACAGACTATTTTGAAAAAAATACACGACCAATTCAGACAGAGGCTCTTCTGTTTTGTTGGTAAATAATACTAGGATACGAGGGAGTTATCACGTGCGTAACTGTCTTACACATATCTCACTCTCACTCTCACCTACCACTTCAATGTTTCATGCAGATAGGAAGGAGGCACAATGGGACACCAATTTAGGGGACGGACAGACAGGTGATCCTTAACGAGTCATTTAACTAGTTTTAGTAGTTACTATAGGAGGGGAGCCAGTTTTGTTCCCTCTTTTTTTGCGACTCTGTACATTAGTAATACTAAATATCATATTGGAGGGCTACACGTGGGTAACTGTCGTTCACGTCGCTCACCTACTCAGTTTGCTAGTTAAAGTCAATAAACAGAACAGAAGTTGTTCCTAAGAGTAAGCTACATGCAAAGTAGAGAGAGAGAGAGAGAGAGAGAGAGAGAGAGAGAGAGATGTTGAAGAAGAGCATAAGCGAGGGGGGAGGAGGAAGAGCATAAGCGAGGTGGGAGTAGAGGACTTGGTTGAGGCAGGCCTAGCCATTGACGAGGCCAAGCATTTGGAAGCAGTCCTTAAACAACATACAATCTCATCGGACGACCCAAGAGAGGTGTGGCGGCAGCTGGTGTCTGATAGAGTGCTAAAACCGTCACACCCCCATGAGCTGCACCAGTTGATCTATTACTCTGTCTATGCCAATTGGGATGTCTCCACCAAAGGCCTTCCTCTCTACTGGTTCCCTTCTCTGTAATGTCGAATTACTGTTTTCTCCTTCTCTGCCTGCCTCTATTTAATTTGTTTGCTCTTTAATTGCTGCTGTATTGTTTCTTGGTCATTCAAGTGCCTACCCTACCCTTTATCGCATTTTGTTGTATTGTAGTTATTTTTGGAATCCCCCTCACTCCCTCCAGTGTTGTATTGTAGTTATTTTTGTTTCCTTTATTTCTTGTAAACATTTTGTTTTTAACCTGACATGCCATGCCAGGAATGAATCTCAACTCCAAGTTGAGCTAAAAGTGAAGCGGAATAAAACCCATCATTTGAACTAATCCACTTATAATATATCGAAATCAAACCTTATATGAAATCAGTTTCAATCATTTCGAACATTTGATGCTTCTTTAATAATTTTGTAGAGTGGAAGGTGTGTATGACTGTTGGTACATTCAAAATTCATTCTTTACCCTTACTTACGTGGGACATCATCACACATGGATTGACTAAACCTGACACATTTAGCATTAGTGTGATGATCTTGGAGCAATAATTCTGCAGACATGGAATGTCTTCTTGCTACTTTTCATTTTTGCTTCACAATTATAATTGAACCTGTTCTTCTCTATTGTCAGATACCAGTCTAGACACACAAACTT